CCCAGTAAGAGGTTTTTATTTAATAGAATTTTTGGACCAAAAATATCGCAATATATCGCCTTGTTTACAGTATAGAAACATATCGGGATATATCGTATCGTGACCCCTCTGTCATGATATGTATCGTATCGCCAAATTCTTGTCAATACACAGCCCTACTGTCAACGCTCTCTGGTTTCATTTAAAAGAGTCGATCATCAGATGTTGTACAAGATTAACCTTCAGGGTGGATATAGCTCGCTAGCAGCCTCGCACCGAGGACCTATCCACGTCATCATTTACCCAGAATGCTTTGCGTGTAAATAAAATGGCCCCGTCCGTGTAATATATTTTTAAACAGATCGCCACCAAACTTCATTCAACTTTCGCATCTTTTTCTTTCTCCTGCTGCAGAATTTTCATGCCTCAGTCATGTAATAGAATAGGATATGATTGTTTGTTCGGATCGAGATCAGACTGAGACTAATGAAGACTTTAATCCAGTCTGTCGTGTTTCCTGGTGCCTTGCCCCGCAGTAGCAACATGTTGAAAATGACGATCCTTTACAGGAAAAAAAAACCTGTCGGATATTCTTTATCATAACTTTAGTTTTACTTAACCTATCAAACAATTTAAAAAGCAGTGTATAGTTTGAAGTCTCTACTTTTAAACGCACTGACTCCACTGAGTCATGTTGTGGTGAAAAGTTCGTTTAGCCACAGTGCTTCTCCTCTGCTAGCTAGCTGCAAACTGGATGAATTTTGGGGTCTCATTACTCCATGTCTCTGAGACTCGCATCGGTTCAGGAAATCCACTCCACAGTTAGCAGCTAGCTAGCAGAGCAGCCAGCCAGGAATCTCTTGTGGAGTCATTTCAGCAGACAACATTATAACACAGACAGCGCTCATGGATCAGAAAATACAGATCCGTTAATTATGTTGGTTTTGGAGCCTGATACCGAAACTGGATTGGATCGGCCCCATCCCTACTACTAATAAAAAAGAAAAACAGTAAAACTACTGTAGATCCATGAGTGTTTACACTGAAATGCAGCTGCAGGTCGTTGTTTATAGCTGCCCGTATCATCACAGGTTTCAGATTATATTTATGTCGCTTTATGACACCACAGCACCTTGTGGTGTCATAAAGCAGACCCAAGGCGTTGCAAATCGAACCAGGGACCAGTAAAGACCAGTAAAGACGCCCCAACTCACCTCTGTCCCAGCTYCAGTGCACATCTCATCTCACCTGTTCATCATACCTGTAAATGCCACCCTGTTGTACAGTCTCTCTACTGTAACATAAGTTCCCATAGCTAATTAAAATAACCCATGAAACAAACAAATTTGAACTTCAAACCTAATACTCAGATGTAGTTTACATAAATACATGGAAACATAATATGATTTCATAACGTAATATAATGAAATAATAGTTACTTAACTTATTAAACTGCAAGTAGTCTTAAACAAAGAGCTAACATACATAAAAACTCAAAATATAAGCCTCTCCACCAGTATGAGGAGCTTTTAACCKGCCCTGCTTTAAATCCAAAATAAACTTTTAAGCTTACTTTATGTGCAGAAAAGTTAAATAAAATAATCCATCCTGATTAAAATCTTGCTGGATGTGACAGTCCAAAGGTTATGGGCTTCAACGCCATCAAAAGATGGGATAAGACGAGACAGGATGGACTGTTACTATAATTCAGTGATTTAAAATGAAGCGTTAGYATAATAGTTACGTTTCCAACAAACACTGTTTTCTGTGGTAAACKAACAAAACTTAAACAGTTGTCTACAGCATGAAGTGATCAGTCACTGAAAATAAGATCAATTNGACCTATACAATTTTTTTCTTTTTGATTTTTTACCTGGATTACTGAGATGCATCAGGACTTGTTACTTGTATTTCATGCTTCATGTTTAATCTTAATATATCAAAGATAAAGTCAACACCATGAGTGAAAACTATCTGCACTACAGCCCCTTACATAGTCACTGGGCCAATGGATGAAATGACTGAGTGGAAATACAGTTTCTACATAGAACAACAGGTTACAGCCTAGTAACTACTCAACTGCTGGTGGGCCAAATCAAATGACTTGGCGGGCCAAATTTGGCCCACGGGCCCCACTTTGGGCTCCTCTGATTTAAAGCAAATAAAGTAGTCTGCATAGTTTTATCAGATGATTGCATTTTTGCTTTGTCTTTGTAATTCAGTAGATGTTTTTTTAACTGCAACCAAAGTGCGGCGGGGAGAAAAGAGGAAAATAAAACTATGACAACGTCAGAAAAATGCACAACTTTTATTCAGGAATTGCTTTCATTACTATCTGGGAGTTTTTCTGGTTCGTCAAAAGATTGTGTTGTCTTAAACCAGTAGCATCTGGTCGTTRGAGCTATAAGTAATGACTATTTTGATAGTCGACTAATTTGCATTTATTTTTTCAATTTGTCAATTAGTCAATAATAGTTTTTGTCACTACATCCRTCAGGCTTTTAGGTAGGATTTTTGAAGAGGGAAACCTAATAAAATAGTTGCTTCTAGGTACTTTGTGTTCTTTAGTACCTAATAATTATATCAAAGTCTCTAGCAAGATTCCCAACATAAGAAATTCTCCCCAATACCTTTTTAAAAGAATGCAAATACAAGATACAAATCTGAATTTTTATATTAATGCAAACAAATTATTTACAAATAACACTGAAAAAGTCAGAACACGTTATTGAATGCACATACTACTAATTAGGGATGCACCGATCCACATTTTTTCACTTCTGATCCGATATCTGAATTTTTGATATCGGCCGATACAATACTATTCCAATACCAAAGCTCTGTTTTATTATTATTATTAATAATTGTGTCATCGTCATAATCATCATTAATTATTTAATATTATTGGTATCATTATTGTTGATTTTATGTAAGTTAGAAT